ACTTGGGTTGTCTTCCTTTCTGACAACGATGCGAAACTTATCCCACTTTCAAAACCGATCCTGCTTCAGAATCTCATGATAATTCTCCCCCAATTAGACCACTAACCACACCCACTGGTGTGGAACCCGACGTAACTTAGCTGATAGCCCCCGATGCTTGAATGATCCCACATCCAAATCTTGAAGTCCAAAGATAGATGCTCTACTAATACTTTAGCAACAAGTTATTTCCCTTGGCGCTCTCATACGCCAATCAATAACGATTACTAAAAACCACTTAATCCTGACAATGTTGAATAACCATCCTGGGGACCTTGTCCGCAGACATCCCATATAATACCCTTCTTCCCAAAGTGCTCCAACAGTTCCCCCGCTCTCGACTCTAGAACTCATATCATTCAGGGCCTCGCACCCTGACTCACTCACCAGCTCAATCATCCACAGTTGAACTGCAGTAGCTGAAACAACCTTTGCCCTAAACCAGGCTACAACCACTCCCAAGACATAGTCTACCATCCCAAAAGTGCAATAGATGGTACAATCAATCCTTACCGCCCGATATAAGAGGACCAAGGCGAACTGGACCTCCAAAATACTTATGCCACATCGACCCACCCGCACTTACCAGCGTTGAACTACTGTCGCCAATTCCGGCGACCAACTAACCCCGAGCTAGAATACAACCTGATCCTGGGGTCACAAGCCTGCTCAATCCTTCGAGCTCGTAAACTGAAAGGGCACATTCCTTGCCCTAGAAAACAACATTCCCATCCTATCAATTAACCATTCTAATTCCAGCTGCATAACTCCAACTGAACATAATCATTACTCTTTTCCGGAGTCCCCGCGACTCACATTTCGGCCTCGAGCAAAACCCCTGAAGCCTCAATCTGGAACACATGTGCTAGACTCTCCCGCTTAACCTGCAGAATGTAACAAGTACAGAACATCTCCCTGATCCCAGATAATTGCAGCCTTCTGCTCATCAGAATATGTCCCAGTAACAAGTCCCGGTACTGGAAAGCTCGACTAATTCCTACCCCTATCGTCGTTACAGCTGTTAAAGCTGCTGCGGCAGCCGTCTCAGCAATGGCTGTGTAGCGCTCGTCGAAATACTCAACCATGGCGGTCTTAATAGACCCTAACATCTCTGGTAACTGTCCCCAAACAAACTCGATCACCTCCTCCCGGATGATCTCACTGACACGGTTCTTTGACAATGTTGGCCTATCCTGGCTGCCAGCTCCCGATCCTAACATGGATCCGGTCTCAAGCCGTCTCGTAACCACCATTCTGGTAAGACACCAGAAAGATCTCTGATAATCTATATAATGACAGGGGACCAACTCCCATCTACACCCCAGGGGTTGTGACTTCCTTGATACGCGTATGGGTCCTGTTCTTTCAGTAGTATGGGCCCCTACTACCTTCCACACCTACCCATATTTTTCTCAAGTATCACCACAACACCCTGACAATATACGTAAACATAGAGGAAGGCTAACTGTCTCACAACTGACCTAACGTCTAGCAGCCACGATGTGGCGGTACCCGGTGGTTACGGTGGTTGAATGGCGATGGAACGGTTGTTGCACCCAACGGACGATCTTCCGGCTTCAATAGAGATGGCAGCGGTGTTATTTGGTCCGGCGACCCACGGAACCAACGTCACGGAAGGCTACTCGTCGCTGTCGTGGTTGCACCGTCGGTTGGCTTGGACGCGGCGTCCGGACATAGCAGCCATGGATGCGACGACTAGAGAATGGAGGAAGGGAGAGGTGGCGGCTGGAGCTTAGAGCATCTAGGGTTAGGGTTTAGAGGGATAGACGGGTTATATACCTGGTTCCTTAGGCTTTATCCCATAATGGCAAAAATGGTCCTTCCTTGTATTATTCTTTTCAAAACAAATCCGTAATTTACCAATTAAACCCCATCTTTTGAAAACCTTTCCAAATCAAGTCCAAAATGTTACCAATCAGCCCCTCCTCTACAAAATCTTCTCATCTTAGGTCCAGAACTTACTCTTTAGTCCCTTCTTCCATAAATCCTTACAGATCAAATCCCAAAATTACACTTTAACCCTCGGAAATCAAAATTATATCATTTGGCCCTCCGAAACTAACACCCCACTAATTATTATTTAAATTTGAGCTCTAATAATATAAATAATAATAATATTTACTTCCCGGGGTTTCCGATTTATTATTAACTACTCTCTTTAAAAATAGGATGTTACACTCGTGTCTTCTTTGTGGGTGTAAGGGCGACTCGACAATTTCGTCTATCGTGAGTTCTTCAAACCTGACCATCATTATTTTTTATCGGATGTGAGTACAAAAGTTGGTTGTCTGTCATCAGTTATTCACATCTGACATTTGTTATGAGCTGGACTTTGAGATTGACAGGGTCAGGAGTAGTTGCTTGCATTGCATTTTACTTATTGTCATTGATCTTGTTGTACCCCTTTATATATTGTGGAGCTTATTTGTCTGTTTTGGAAACTTAAATGTTTTAAGGAAACATGTTGGGAGACCCTTTGTCATTTTGTCTGTCATGTTACAAAAAATGTTATATTTAAGGTTAATGCTAACATATAAAAGACAAACATGTAGCTTATAATGGTTTCCAAACAAAAAAGAATAGAATCACTCCAAGAAAAAACCATAATGTTGCACATAATTAGTACTAAGCAACATTAAAGTTTAATCCATTTCAGATAAATAAAATGAATTGATTGTGTTTAATTGGAATTTAAAGACATAATTTTAACCAAACACCCACGAGTTCATTGCATTCCGAATTTAAGCATGTTAATAAGGTTTCTATATTTTTAGAATTCAAGTTTTATCACCCTTAATTCAAATCATGAGTGAATTAGTGATCATAATCAAAGTTTTGAAGCGTCAATTGAAGCAGTCGATGATATATTTAATTAATAGATTAATTATGTAATTCATGAATCAACTTTAACATATTAAAACTCCTTGAATTTGGTTTTTAGATTATTATGGAAAATGTTTGGGAATTAAAATTAGGCAAAACACCTAAAAATTTTCATGAAAAAGTTTGATGTAGGTGTCCTATTTTAGTTTTTATTTATTTATTTATTTCAAAAAGATATATTATTAAAAAGTTAATTTTACATGTATCTTAATTATCTTAATTAATTAAGAAAATATATTGTTTAGGTTAATTTTTAGTATTTTATTATTATTGTTATTAGTTTGGCAATGATTTCCTTATAGGATTAGTATAGTGATATAGTCTATTATAAATAGGGTATATGTCATTATAGCTTTGAAAATGATTGTGATTTAATAAAGTTTACGAAAGAATTTGTGAATATTTTAAGAGCATATAATTAAGTCCGGTTTATTGGTATAATTTTATGCAATAAACGTACACTTGTGCAAGTGGGGCGTACAAATGTGCAAGAGAAATACCACTACTAAAAAATTGTCTTGTTAATGCGAACAGCGATCAAACTGTTAGATTTTAGCAACTACTGATCATTGATTAGTCAAATACGTGGCAAAAAAAATTGTTTACATCTATATTGTACAATAGAAAACCTATAGTTATTCTAACGCTAAATCTGACAAACAAACTCTTTGTTGGTCCCATGCCAGTTAGTAAATAGTCATATAAAGCACTATACTTTGAAAAATCTGACAGTTATAAACTTGAAATTTTCACTATTAAAACATTATACTTTGAAAATCGTCTAAACTATTACATTGCTTCATACATGGATGACTGATTGACAGTGGAGATTAGGATGAGACCTGAAGCTATGACAGCAACAGACAAAGAATGCCGATCAGTATTTGACAAGAATCTTTCTGACTATTAGTTTAATTATTAACGTTAACTGTCTTCAATATTAACTAATAGGATTATTGGAATACCTAATACTAACCCCCAACATTCTATATTCAATGAGATACTAATTACTTTCATACAAAGTCTGGTTAGAGCATGCTACTTAACATAAGGATTAAAAAAACTTCTTGTCAAAGTAACAATTTCAATGGCCTTTTTAGCATTAATCCATGTCATGACATCAACCTAGAAGCACATCAGGAGTTCTTTCTAAATAAACTGCCAACTTTCCAATCAAAAACAACAGACGAACAGCAGTTCGACCTTCAGTATTATACACACTTTAGTATTTCTGTTTCAACACATGTAATTTGACACACACACAGCTTCAGATTCCCTTTGTTCTTCAACATAGTGGTTGTTTGCTATGGTCACTGCAGATCTGCATAACACAAATCCCAGATCATCAGTATCTTCTTCATGCACACAACTATTTACAAGTATTGACACACCCCACAAGGAATAAAAAATCAAGTAACAATTAGTATGAACCTTTTGAATTAAATCATAAGATACCATGGCATTACACTTTTCCTGGTTTCCTAATGGCTGAAATCTAGCGTATGGAGAACTTTGTTGGATTGTAATAGCTGTTTGTTTCATTTCAAGGACTTAAAAAGTAAAAAGTAAAAAGATGAAAAGCCAGGGGACTTGAAGCTATGAAAACTCAAATGGACCAAGGTCCTTTGTGCACGTAAGGAAAATGCAAGGGTAGCAACGCAAATAGGATAAATAAGTGGGTGTTTAAAGGAGAGATTCTAAAAAGATCTTAGATTTACTAGTATGAAGCTGTAAACATATGTTCTTTCTTTGTGTATATAAGTTCAAATATTTACTTTTAATAAAGTCTTGATTTCAGTTGGAGGTATCTGTCTACATTTTTGTAAAATTTATAGAAGGGTTTTGTGGAAGGAGAGGACGCCATCATTCTTGTGAAAATACCAACAAAACAAGCTAGATAACAAGAAGTAGCAAATTGTACACAGTTCTTGGCATTTATATCAATAATACCATCCCTAAAAAGAGCAAGTGAAATTAAAAAAAATAAAAAAATAAAAAATGCTTGTAAGATGAAAGTATAAAGCTAAATTGCAGTGTAGTTGAACATTCTTACATGATTATGTCTTTGGGATCAAGTAGAACATTTTTTCTTTTGGTGAGGCTCCAGGGAACTGGATCACATCTTTAGCAATGTCAAATCTTTTTTGAGCATCTGTTTTCTCACTTGGTGTGATGTTCAACTTGTCAAGAGAAGGAGAATGAGCAAGAAGAAGCTTTATAAAAAGAAGTTCCGGTTTTGATCCTTCAAAACATTTTATATTCACAGTTTGCAATCGATTCAATGTACAGTCCAAGCAGTTTGGGGATACCAAGTGATTTGAAGCAGGTCCCACATCAATTCGAGGCTCCTGAAACACAATAAAAATGCAACAGCACTTTACAATCCAACCCTTGTATTGTATATACTTTTAACTCTTTACTTTACCATCTCAGGGTGCATAGCAGACAGTTCTTCTAGATTCGGTGAGTTTCGAAGCAAACAAAGAGCAGCATGAAGTAGATCCACATCACCAACTTGAAAATCCATCAACCACAGACACCTTAAACTACTTATCGCACGTGGAAGTAATTTTGGAATCTTTTCTGCGCTTAAATTAATTACCCAATAAACATGGAAGTTACATTCCCTTCGTGCAAAAGGAAAAGCAAGGATAAGTATAATTTTTTTTTCCTTTATATCATACCTTGAGAAAATGCCTGTCGATATAAAAGTATTGAACTCTTGACAAGTTACTCAACATTGTGGCGAAATTCATTTTGCCAACTCGTACAAAATCTTCTATGGGTTTCTCGAAAGCAATTATAGCCACAGAAAGGCATGGACTGTCCAATAACCGAAGCGACATGGCACCAGGGCAAGCATATGCAGACAAATTCTGCAGTTTTGTAGCCTTAATGTTGAAATTGCAGACATTTGTGCACACAAGCAGGGACAACTTCTTAAGTTGTGGTAGGTTGACCTTAGTGCCACACAAGCTAGCCCCAAAATCAATATCCTTCTGAAGAAGTTCTTCAAGATTGAGAAATCCTTCAAACTCAAGTGGTGGCTTAAAGAAACAATTATCCAGCTCCAACTTTGTCAATTCTAGACAAGAAAACACATAACAAGGAAGTTCATAACAGCGATTCCACTACAAGGATCGAGCCTTATGCAGACGACAGTTATGGACTCTGTCCAGACGACTTGTCGTCGATAAAGCTTATACCGACAACATGTGGTCTGTAAAAAGTCGTCGGTATAGGTCCGTTGGTAAAAGTCGAAAATGTCGTCAGGACAGGAGTCGTCGGTACAGCATAGCCAGTCCAGACGACATATCTTCTGCAAAGGATCGTCGAGATTGATTTTCGAGGAAATAAGAAAAAGTTTTAATTCGGACCCTATACCGACGACTTGTGGTTGGGACAAGTGTGACCCTATAGAGACGACTTCTCGTTTGGAAAAGTTGATCAATACGGACGACATGTCGTCTGGAATGGGAAAACCGTTTTTACAGTTATAAAGCTATACCGACGACATGTCGTCGCTATAGCCTTTTGTTTTTTTAATATTTTTCACAAGTTTTGTTATATATACCATTTAAAACAAATCCAAAAGGGATATTTGCAGAATAATATAAACATGACATAACATACCATTAAAATCCAAAAACACTTAATAAACATAACATACCATTCAAATTCTACTACATAACAAAATAACAAAAAAAGCAAGTTTTTAACAAACATTGTTGTCATTATCATTCTAGTTCTCCTCCTCCTCATCATCATCATCACCACCATTGTAACATCCCAAAAATCGAGACCAAAATTTTTTGTTTTTATTATATTGCTTATAAAATTTGTTGGAGGAAAACATTACTGATATCATATTCATTCATAAACCATAGTTACATGTCTCAAAAACGATATCGTCAATTAGTAATAGTGTCAGAGTACAATCCCGGAAATCTCAAATGCGTAATCATGTGTGTGCGATGCGCTGCTACCCTGCCGGCCCCTTCCCCTTAGACGAAGAGGTACCTGAAACCAAAACTGAAAACCGTAAGCACAAAGCCTAGTAAGTTCCCCCATCATACCACATACCATATAATCATACATACTGCCAGACAATTCTGGGGTGCCCGACCTACCCATGTCAAGCCATTATGGGGTGCTGACCTACCCGTGTCAAGCCGTTCTGGGGTGCTGACCTACCCGTGTCAGGCCATTCTGGGGTGACTGCCTACCCTCCTGTCTATCCCAACCGGCCATTGGGGACTATTTCACCCCTACCACTATCACATAATATCATATCATAATCATGCTATCAGACATATATGGGGCGTCCGACCTACCCTTCGGCCCTAACGACCGAATCGGGGGACTATTCCCCTCCTACTACTACTATCGCATATAACATATCATACTGGAACATAGAACACATCAGGTAGTAGCAAACCTAGACAATTATCACAAAGACAATCATCTAAAGACATTCCCTGCTAGTTGGCCGGCATTGTGGTCGTAGACCCACCTCTACTAGAAGGTAACTCACCTCAATGTCGTGTAGTGTCTGCACTGTTCTCGGTATGGAAATCAACTCTTCTTGACTCCTCAATCCCTACACAACATCCTTTATACATTACCATTTCATACTCATAACCCCTACAAGGGTCAACTTAAGTCCAAGGCAAAGTCAAGGTCAAAACCTTGGTCAAAGTCAACTTTGGTCAAAGTCAACATATGGTTGACTAGACTCGCCGAGTTGGTCCACCAACTCGTCGAGTCCCCACGTCCACAAAATGCAACAAATCGGCCCCTACTCGTCGAATCTAGCAAGAGCTCGATGAGTCCGCCTTCAACAAAACATCGGGACCTTCTTCAACTGACTCGCCAAGTTCATCCTTGAACTTGTTGATTTCATCTTCATCCGTATGAAGGTGTTTAGTCTATGACTCGCCGAGTTCTCCTTGAACTCGTCGATTCCGTCTTCATGTGGTTGGGACATTGCCTTGAACTTGCCGAGTTCCTCCTTAAACTCGTTGAGTCCTTCGATCTTCAAGTCCATAACAAACCCCAACAGGCTAAGTTTTCCTTCAACTCAACCAAAGACCATCTCCAGAAGACGTTTGGGGGAAACTGCGACCCGACTCGCCGATTCACCTAAGCGACTCGCCGAGTCCCTCTTTATCGAAAACTATACATGTAACACCCTGTTCTGAAAGCATTCGCTGATGAATTTCAAAGGCCAAGGCTAAGGGGCGTTTTGGTCTTTTATGGGTCTTGAGTTTTATTTGGAAGGTTTTTAGGCTTGGGGGTGTGGCTTGAAGCGTAAGGCCTCCCGCCACCTTTTCGTGGATATAAAGTTCATTGGAAACGGACCTCGGGTAAGGAAGATATGACTCTTTGAAGTTATTGGCATTATGGTCCCTAATGGAAAAGTTGACAAGGAAGGACCATGCATGCAAAGTAGAAGGCGCGTGGGTATGCCCAACGTATAAAAGGAAATGGTCGCGGGTGTTTTTGGCATACGCCCAACGTATAGGATGTACGCCCAGCGTACGTCTAGTGTCCAGAAACCCTAATTTTAGGGCCAACCACTATATAAGAACATAATGGCTCAAACCCTAGCCTCTTTGTCTGTCCCCCATCCCCAGAGGAACCCTAGAACGCCTCATCTCTCCATCCTTGGGTGATTTTGACTTCAAGAAGCTCATTTTGGTGGTGTAAGCTTGGAAAAGGAAAAGAAGAAGTTAGCAAGGAAGAACTTGGGGAGTTGGAGCTCATAGATCTGGAATATCTTCACCATTTGGAACTCTTTGAAGGATTAACGCTCATAACTTTACTTAAGAACGCTTAGATCTAGTGTAGTGTGGTTTTGGAGTCATTTTGGTCCCATGAATGGACCTTTATGATGAAATCTCGTTTGTGAGCTTAGGGTTGCCACCCTCAGAGCTAAAAGGGTCCCATACGCAGTAAAGTCTCCATCTTGAACGTGTTAATGGGTTCATGCATGAGGTCTAGCCCTCTTTATGGAAGTGGAATGTCATTTTTGGGAGTTTGGGCTTGTTTGGGCCAAGTAAAGTCACCAAGTCAGCGACTTTATGGATTAAGACATGGAAAAGGACCAGGATCTGTGATTGTAGATTCTGAAGTGGAGTATTAAGAACTTAATGAGAAATGGACTTAACAGGGGGTTTACGCTGAGCGTAAGTATAGGTACGCCCAGCGTACGCACCATCTACCCAGTACGCTTAGCGTATATAGATGTACGCCCCGCGTAATCTATTAGTATGGACTTGCTGTTATTAGGCCATGGTTTGGGCCATGCTTGGGTATTTGGGCTTTAGTGGGCAAACAGGAGTCAGTTAATATGGACCAAGAATATGTTTTGGGCTTAGGGTAAGGCCCATTAAGGGATTGGGCCCAATGTAGCAATTTGGGCCGTTAGTGGGCGACTAGTGGGCTTGGGAAGATTACCTAGTGTTTGGCCTTTTATTTTATGGTTTGGGTCTTGGATATGGACCGGGATGGACTAGGGGGTAAAATGGTCATTTTACCCTAAAGAGAATTATTGGTTTGGTCTAAGTGTTATCTTGGTATTGGTAGCTCGGGGAGCCGAAGGATCAGCTGTTCGGGAATTGACAGATATCAGCAGGGCTTCAGCAGTGCAAGGTAAGTCTCCTCACTGTGTGAATGGGTCTAAGGCCACAATTCCGACCCATGTAGTTTATGAGTAGGAAGACCCGGGGGTTAGCCCTAGGCACTATATGCTAGTATGTCATTCCGGACCAGGGTCCGATGCCGGGCGGGTGCCTGAGGAATGTTTGTATGTTAGAATATACTTGTTGTCTGTGTGATACTTGTATGTGCCTGGTAGGCAGGTGAGTGTGGGCGGGGGCCCGTATCTCACTATCAGCAAGAGTGTCGACTGGGTTCCATAACTCATCTGTAGCAGGACAGGGGTAGGGCCCAAGGTAGGCGAGGCCTTAGGACAGGGATATAGTAGAATATGTTTCTTATGTGTTAGCATGTTATATGACTGTATGTGTTTAGCGGACGGGGCCCAGAGACAGATGGGGCCCAATAGAGATAGATATGTATACCGAGCGGGGCTCGATTCCAAGCGGGGCCTGATGCCGGGCGGGGCCCGATGCCGGAGCGAGTCCGATGTCGGGCAAGTCCCAATGCAGCGGGCGGGGGCCCAGTATGTGGATATATGTATGGTGTGTGGTAGATTGGGGAACTCACTAAGCTTCGTGCTTACAGTTTTCAGTTTTGGTTTCAGGTACTTCCGGTAACAGAGGGAAGAGCTCGGGATGACTGCATGGCACACACCAAGAAGTTTGGCCTGGGATGTTTACTATGATAAAAAGAATATGTTTTGAGATTATACTCTGGTTTGATATTACGGTTTTTGTTTATGAATGAAATGGTTGATAATTATGGTTTTTATTAATGATTTAAAATGAAATTTTTGGTCTGGATTTTTGGGATGTTACAAGTTGGTATCAGAGCCTTGGTTTGAGGGATTTGGGCATACTCTCGGGTGTGACTGAACTCAAACTGAGGACTTGGTATGAAAATTTTCAAAAGAAAATCATTTTTATAAAAACGAGCTTAAAGAAAAAGAAAACAACTTTGAGAAAAAAGAAAAGTGTGTGGTGCATGCAATCAGCCGAGCTCAAGTAAGTTCTTCCAAATTACCCATACATGTTTGTTTAGATATGATACGCTTATGAGAACTGCATGTTAGATTAGGACTAAGGATCTAGGAAGGATGCCTTAAGTGTCTGTTATGTGTATGAGCCTTATGAGTTGCATGCTAGTACAGATTCCTGATATGTGGATAGAATTGCTTGATTATGTTCTGGTTAGATTTTCCCTTTTTGTCTGAATGCTACTTGCTTTGTGCTTTGTGGGACTCTGAGTGATGGGAGTTAGCCATTAGGTGAATACCTCAAGTCACATGTGATCAGGGTTGAATAATCTCAGAGTGCTGGATTTGGCCCTATTGCGCAGCTCTTGTTTATGTCTAACCGTTGTAGGGATGAGTCCTTTACTCGAAGGATTATCTGAGCTTCGTCACATGTGATGGTATTCAGGTAGTGGCTAATTGGCATTATGAAGATACCTTCAGTAGCTGAGGATTGGATTGGGTTATAGATTTCCCTAGGGTAAGCCTAGAATGAGATTAGTGCTGGGAGCAACAGTAGTAGTGCAAGGGACTTGGTGGAGTCAATGCAATCTTTGAGGAAAGTACGGATAGATGTGGAAGGTAGTAGGGGCCCATACTACTGGAAGCAGACGATCTGTTCTCGAATCAAAGAGGGTTGAGATAAAACCAGGGAACTTATAGGGCGTGTGTGATCCCTCAGTAGTGATGAGTATTCTGATGATTATTATGATATGTTGCAGAATGGTGACGCTACGGGGTAGACCAGTTGGCGATTCAGGCGCCAGTGAGGAATCGGGCTCGGGCTAAGGAGCCGAGCAGCTCGGGGAGCAGATGAGAGAGTTTATTTTAGCAGAGGTTACGTGCGGTATTCTAGACCAGACTCCTGTGATCTTTGGTACGGTCAAGGAGGGTATATTGCAGATTTTGGATGAGAGGCTGGGAGCCTTCCGCGCTGAGATGGTGGCCATTATGGGGGCGCGTACACTGACATTCCGAGAGTTCAGAGCTTGTGGAGCTCCAGATTACCATGGGGCCAGGGACCCCATTGCTAGCGGTAGATGGTTGGCAGATGTCGCCAACGCTTTTCGCACTAGCCGGTGTCCCGAGGGGGATAAGGTCCGACTTACCTCATGTCTTATGAAGGAAAGAGCACGAGATTGGTGGGAGGAGGTTGGACATGCCATGGGGGATGATGCCGCGTTGGACGCGATGACATGGAGTGATTTCTCGGCCAGGTTCAAGGCGGAGTTTGCACCGATGATTGAGGTGCAACAGTTAGTGCGGGAGTTTTAGGGCCTTCGGCAAATGACTGAGATTGTGGCGGAGATTACCGCCATGTTTAGGGAGAGGGATCTTCTTGTTCCGCAGTATGTCGCGGACGAGGAGATGAAGAAGGCCCGATATCACGAGATGCTGAGGGCTGGCATCAGGGAGTTTGTGAGCAGGTCCAGCTGCAAGACGCTTGAGGATATGATTG